ACTGGTTCAGCTGTAGGCTAAGCAGTGAATAGAGTTATTTTATTCTGGTTAAGGATTTGGTCTGTAGTGTCAGAGCTGAATTAAGTTACCATGGCCTGCCTGTAATATTCAACTACCCGTGTAAGAGAAGCTACATATAGCAAATTAATATGTCTATATGTTTGTGCATGTGTGAAATAGCATCTAAAAGCCACAGGAGCATGGAGTCTGAGTGATATCTGAACAGTGGTTCTGACAGCGTGTGTTTATCTCTCAGCTGCTGTTATAGAAATGTATTTGCCCTCCTGCTGTGACGGAGGTTTTTTTGTTTGTTTAGGTTTGGGGTGTTTTTTGTTGTTGTTTTGGGGCTTTTTTTTTCAGATTTGTTTTTAGCACTTACGTCTTGGACAAATTAGTCATCTTTTCCCTTCAAAAAAAAAATATTCTACTACGTTGCGACTTCCGACAAGTTTATTTTTGTGCCTTCTCAGCCCATTTATTCCATCTGTCTTCACCTCACCTCACTTCTGATGTCTTCTGTTATCTGGGCTTTCTTCCAAACATACTAACTGGCAGCTACAAAAAAAAAGGAAACCTTTGAAATACAGAACTAAAGAAGTCATTCAGGCTGCAAACTGATAATTCATCCACTTTATATCCTGTTCTGTATTTTCCTTTGTGTTGAGCTGAACGGCCAAGCAAAACATGGCTGTAGGCTTTATTCTTTTATTATTTTCCTTCTCTTGTTTTTTCTACAAAAATTAGCATTGCCTTTTTCTTCTAAAGAAAAAGACAAAAAAGAAGAGAAAAAAAAAACCCTAAACCCCATGACACCAGGAACAGGGAGCAGCTTCTGAGGGTGTTTTACCTTTTTGCTTACTTAGGTCTTGGATAATAAAGGCAAAAAGGGAAAACACCAACAGGCTGCTCAACTCTGCTCTGAAATTTGTGCCTCTGGTAGCCGTTCCTGAGCCAGTAACTTTTGCAGAAGATAGATAGGAGTTCAGAGTGCCTGGCTCTGCCACCTGCTCCTCCTCACCTCAATCTGGCTTTCACACGTTGTCTTCAAAGGAGGTTGACCCTGGCTCCCAGTGGGATGGGTGGCTGCTTATTTGCATCAACACCATCCTCTCTGGAGCCATGGTGCAGAGCTAAGATGGATACTAACCCAGGCCTGGCTCCAGCAAGCTAGTTCTGGATTAGCTTTTCTAACACCTTCTGCCAAAAATAAACACATTCCCTCAAGCCTCCTCATCCCAAAGGGAGAAGGTAGGCTTCCTGACTCCATCCCTTCACTGTGCTCTCTGCCAAGTTCAGGAAATTTTGTAGTTTCAGGAGCATGCAGGCACGTAGCAGCACCAGTGTTGACAGTGCATTGTGGCCAGGTGAGCCTTCTTCCATGTCAGCAGGGGCCCTGATCTTCATGAGCTTCAGAATCAGGGTCGTGGTGATCAACAGCCTGCTGTGAAGGCACAGCTGAAGCAGAGTAACAGCAAAAGGAGCAGAAAAAATGACATGGAGAAGCATCAAAGAGCTGCTTGCTTCCACCTATGAGGCAGCACCGTTCTTTCATCTTGATTAAAGATCTTGCTCAAGGTAATCTGGGACTTTACCATCCCTTGAGAGAATTTCTGCAATCTGGGTTGACAGCAAAAGGAACTGAGCATCCTTGTGAAGGGCCTCGCTCCCCAAGGCTGCTCTGGTTTCTGCCATCTCCCCGGTCATATCCATGGCAAGATCTTGAGTTTAATCTGTAAAGTGTTAGTGAATCCTTTGTCAGCTACACCAGGATTGTCCTCTCTACTTTTGATCCTCTGAGTGTACTCTGCGTGTTAACTCAACACTTCTGTCAACCAAACGAGGCAGAAGACTCAGGTTGTAGCTGCAAGACATAAAGCATCCCTAGCTGGAAGTTTAGTTTTGGAATCAGTTGCCAACAGGGACAAGAGTGAAATGTTCAGTCGAGAAGCTAAAACCTGCAGAATGGCAAGATGTTTCCACCCCCTAATTTATTCTTCTCCAGCCCGTCATCTGCTACTATTATCCTGTTGTACACGTAGCAGAGCTTAATCATAGTAATATATTATGCCTATGTGTGGGGTTTTCCCCTCCTCTGGGCATTTACAACATATCTGTGAGCTGAAGAGCAGTCTGGAAGACTGAAAATGGTTAGTAGACCACACAAAAGAATTTGACAGAAAGAAGATGTATCTCCTTTATCCAGCTGGCAGCTTGTAACCTCTCCAAACAGCTTTTATTGCTAATTTACTGCTGTGGAAGAAACTGTGAAGTTCTAAGATACATTAAAAGGTAAAAATTGCCAGATCCAAGTGTTAGATAACAAGTGTCTGATCACAAACTGAGAAACAGAAGTGGAGCCTTGAGTGACTAGAAGTCACTTTGTCCTTCAGCAAATTCAGTATGGATCTGGATCAACTCTGAAAAATACTAAGAGAAAGCTTTAAAAATCTCCACCATACTCTTCACTTGCTATTTTTTAATTGATCAGAATCATAAAATGACAAACATTGATTTATCATTCAGTAATTTAAACTTATTTCCATAAATCTTTTGAAACACATTGAGATATCTGAAGATGTTGCATACAGAACTAATAAGCCAGAGGTTTAAATTAATATCTTTCCCTCTTTGTAATGCAATGTAACATTCTGGGACCTGAAAAAGAAACATTTTATTGGTCCATTCTACAGAGCACCATATTCTGGCTACCCTGAACCCTTCACACTCCCATAAACAGAATTTTCAGGAAGATTATGAGATCTAAGTCTTTTTGGCCCTGGTTGAAAAAAAGGGTATAAGCAGGATATGTGTTCCAGATTGACAGCTTTGGTTTTGCATTTTCAACTAGATTTTACAGGCACTTAAATCTTCTTGTTAAAATTTTGCTTCCTTCTACACATCTGTTGGGAGAAAATCCTAAAACACCTCTGTCTTTAAAGGGGTAGAAGAGGTTGGTCTCCTCTTTCCAACCTAGGTGGGAAACTCCATGTTTCCATCAATTAGAGGAGTTGCGACCCTATTTTCTCCAAGAAGACTCTCTGGGTAGTGTTCTCTGAGCATGGTGCAGAGGTCACCACCCCTTTCCTTCTGAATCACAAAGGGAGGGAAAGATTATCCCTTAATTTAGGTCTCTTGGCCAGGATGAGGGAGACCTGGGTGCAAATCAGGTGAAAGAAACAACGCATGGTGCCATAACTCAGAGATTATTTCATGAATAGAAAAAATACACCACTTTTTGTGCCCTGATCCGAATTTCAACCATTCCCTCTGCCACAAACACCTTTGCTTCTTGTGCCAATGAATCTTCTAAAACCTTCAGCATGTTAACTGCAAAATTACAACATGAAAAATAAATAAATAAACCTCGCACATAGTTCCCTGGTTTCAAACTTTGCAGATTCAGGGTTCACTAAGAAGTCATCTCTCTTTTTCCTTTAGAAGAAGACGACCATATAGAATAATAGAGTTCTCTGTCTAGCATACAAACCCATCTGGAAAGAATTTAGTCTGCAATAATTGTGGGCATTTGATTTAGCTTTAAATCCCTATAGGTAATTCAAATGTGAATTTATTGGGGTGAATTTATCCCCAAACCGCCATTGGATGGGATGTTTTAGAGATGAATTTGGCTCACTAAAGCACTAAAACTAGAGCTTGCATTGTTTCTTTTTGCATCAGGATATTATTATGTGCTGTAATGGCTCTTGTGATAAGCAGATTTTTCCTAGAAATAATAGAGACAATGCAGACAATCACCTGAATGTTGTTTATTTTTCAGTTCTTTAAAGATTAGGAATTCTTTGGTTATGAATATGTTTATAATTTGTTATCTAAGTCACTCAGGTTATTCCTTTATTCCATATTCAGTCTTTTTGGTTAAGTAAAATTCACATTCTGCCTCAGAAAAAAAAAAAAAGAAGTTTCAAGAAGCATTCAGCACATAATGTAAACAATGCCATCTGTCTTTTTCTTTGTAAAATCTTCTTCGAGATAGCCCCGATATGCCCACTGTTTTCAATCACTTAAAAGGCAGTAATTCAATTATATCATCCTCTCTGTAGGAGCTGCCATTGCTTTCAGTCCACTTCCAGTCCTGACACAAGTAAATCACTTTGATAAGATCCCCTTTTTATTTATTTTTTTTCTGAGGAGACTAGCATAAGTAATGATGCCAGTGATAGACCAAGGACAAAATGACCATAATGTGCTTTCTGTCAGAAAGGAAAACATGTGCCATGGTGATTTATCGTGTTACTTTGGAAAATGCTTTTCCTTGGGAATTTCAACAACAGCCACACTCTCCAAGCAAAGGGCATGAGCAGCTATGACTTGGCCAAGTGGTAAATTCAAACAAAAGCTTCTTCCCCAAGCAGCAGATTTAAACAGCTATCTCTACCTCGATTTCTGAAATGGGAACAGAAGGTCAAAGCCATTTTGGAAATGTGCCTAGGTCGTGTTCATCTTTGGTATAATGCCACCTACTTACATGGAAACGCGCTGGGGACGTGGGAGGTTGGACCTTCCTCACAAACTGCTGGGGCTTATCGTGCAGATATGCCTTCCTTCTATTTAAAAATTGTTTGGGGGGCTTCAGTGCTTTGTGCCACCCGTGAGGCAAGCTCCTGGCAGACACGTCCGACCTCCCAGAATAGACTCGGCACGAGACCAGTAGTATCTGTGGACTTCCTGCTACAAACTGGCCTTGATTCTGATGCTGAGAGAGCATGGTTAGAGCTGAGCTGAGACTCTGGACACATCAACCTGTTGCCCCTGGGCTCAGAAAAATGAGAGAGCACCTCATGAGGTGGTTATGTGTGATGTCTCACAAGGCAAGTTTGGTATTTCCAGTGACGTGCTATGAGGTCACCCTTTTGTGATGTGATTTTGGAGAGTCTGTGTAGAGAAAGCTGTGACCAGGACAGGGAAAAGGCAATGTGTTGATTGTATTTAAGGAAGCTCTTTAGGATGTTATTGATACAACTGCTGGTTTCCTTTCACAGAGAAAGTGTGGAGAGCCTCATCCAAAAGCATTCCTACGCCCGATCCCCCATCCGAACTTATGGAGGAGAAGATGATCTTGGAGATGACAGCCAGGCAACACAAAGCAGAGGTAGGACAAGGTGCTCGTGATGTAAACTGTGGTGGCCTGGTTATGCTCGAGAAAAGAAGGACCATGATCAGTACTGTGGTACTCTGAAGCGTTTCCTTGGTGTGTCTTTTTGCATGAAGACCTATAATGAAGAATACTTAGTACCTTTTGGCTCTTCTGGACATCTGATGTGCCCACAGTGCTGGTGTGGGTGGCTAGTTCAGGAGGCAGCTCTAGAGATGCTTATACAGCCTTTACCATCTCTACTATCTCTGCTTCCTCATTAAGAAGGCTGAAAAACAGCCAACTTTATCACCATGGTGCTGAGAACAGCTAATGCTCCTCATCACTTAGCAGGATTTACTAGCTGGGGTTCAGCACCATTTGTAAAATAAGGTGTAGATTTGCCATTTACTGACCCCCCAACCTTCTGTGAAGAGAGGACTTGGTTCTGACCACCTTCAACCAGCCTGTGGTTAACCTGTTTTACCTCCACAGGAAGAAAAGTCCACAGCTCCCTGGAAAATGGATGTTTAATTGTTACCTCTTGGTCTCTAAAAGGTGCTTTTCCTTCTGAGGCAACTCACCTCAAAAGGCTTATCAAATGATTTGTCTACTTTAGCAGTCACAAAAGTGACAGCAAGGCAGAGTTCTTTGTGGGCAAACAGCATCTGTCATGATTTGCCACTGCAAATAGATCTCAGACCCATCCTGTGGGATTGCTGACTAGCATAAACTCGTGTTGCATTTGACTTTGCATGTTGACTTCATGACCTGCCTGATAGGCAACAGCCACTTGAGGTAAAGCAGTTCTATCATCTGCCTTCCCACTGGCAGTGCCCTTGTCTCGTCCTCTAACTTCATGCGGTGTCGCTCAGATAAGAGCATTATTTCTGGTCAGAAGCTCAGGCAGGGAAAACACACTTATTTTTAACCATGAGTTGCTCTTCAGCAAAATGTGATTAGGTGGGCTTGTTCATACCCGTCTGTTCTGAGAGCAGCTCCTTAGATTGCAGAGTTTCTGGAGCAACTCCTCAGCTGATATGATGCCATTCTGTCACATACTTCTGGGGGATTACCTCGCTTCATGCCAGCTTAGATCCTAGGCCAGTTGTTGTTGAAGATGGAGTTAAAATTTCCCTTGCCAGAAGTGCTCAGAGCAAGGCATCTTCTTTCCAAGAATTACATTTCTCCCTGGTATGATGTCCAGGGTATGGTTCTAGCATTTGCTTGCAATATGGCAAATGAATAAGCGAGGAAGATGATGAGTTGTGGCGACCAACTTTTTTTCTAATCTGGGAGCCATATGCTGGCAAGGGATGTGATGGTTTTGGGCAACCAGAGGCATGCACAGAGGGTAAAACATACTGCTCTGGCAGATGACTTCCTTCTACTGCCTTCACTCTCTGTTTAGGTCTGGTGTCCTTAACTAAGGAAAAGTCCTCCAAGACACAAAGAGAGAAATAACCATCTTTTTGAAACTGCAGGGACACCTGTTTCTTCTGATGCGTGTGAAAACTACCTGGCATGCAAAAGTTGAGGGATGTTCTTCCCTACATATGCCAGTTGACAGTCAAGCACAAACACACTGATGGGTGGTGTCTGTTATAAGCTCTCTGAGGCCTTGAGTGCCTCAGAATTACTGCAGCATGTTTCCTTGGTGCTGGCAAATGTGGTACATGAGTCTTTTTTGAAGTACTGACTTGCAATCAGAGACCACTGCAGTTGGAGGAGGAAAAGGCCCTTATGGAGGCTCCTTATGAGAAGGAATCACATACTTTGTTCTGTGTAGAACAAAGGAAGTCTATCACTGCTATTTATTTCTAATTACAACCAGAGCATCCCCATCTCAGCCAATTTCAGCCATCTCAAGATGGAAGTGACTAGCCTTCAGCAGTATATTTATCATGAGAAGTCTGTTTCCAAAGGAATTAGAAGATATGAAATACATCAATCCAATTAAAACTCTTTCATGCATGCAGTCTGGGTGCCTGCACTCCAGCACCCACACCCAAGGTTCATGGTAGCCACCTGGAACAAAGCCAAACGTGAGTCTTCTGGTCAAATCCAGATCCACATCCCATTTTACCTGCAGTGCAATAACACCCCGATATCCCCCAAGTTGTAAATTGTTTGTTCTGGTCTAGGAGTGTGGTGTTGTCCTGACAGTTTGGCTCTGGATCCTACCTTCCCAGCAGTTAGGATTTGGTTCAGGGATGGGGTCAGGATTTGGTTCAAGTCCATTTCTACTGAACTGACTCAACTTTGTTCCCCTGTTACTGAGCTATTTTACCAGTTTCATTAGGCAGAGGAGGAATTAATCAAGAGTTATCTCTCTTTCTGATTTGAGAATTTATCCCTAAACAGATTTATTATTATTTTTTTAATAATAATTTTTATTTTATCTATTGTTTTCACTTATGGTTTTGTTTTGAGTATGTGGCTACGATTGGTTCATATACATAATTCCAGTAAGTTTACTTTAACAGATAGATGTCTTCATGTTTTTACTTTCCACAGTTGAGATGAATCTATCTTCTAGAATCAGATTTATGAAACTAATATCTGCTGTAAAATTTGTCATCTCAGAATGTTTTGTAATGCTGGCTCGAAGTGATATTTTGTCAAACATGCTTGCCAGGAAATTTATTTCTTAAAGAAACATTTTCTCAACTGACAAGAAAGAAAATACAGAGGGGATGTGAGCTGAATTATTGGTTGAATAGGAAAAAAAAATTATGAAGCATTTATTTATAGGGTTTTATTGTATTCCCCATTTCTAGAAATCAGACATCTGATGATGACCAGATGCATAGAGGATCTGCAGAGGTGGAGGGCAGCATTGTCACCAGACTGCTTGAAAATGACCATGTATAATTATCCAAGCTAATTATTTTTTCACCACTTTCCAAAAATTTTAATGTAGAAATAAAATAAGTAATTAGTCCTAATTTAAAGAAACAACTTTTCCCTTTTTTTTCTGATTCTGCAGTCTTCAGAGGAAACGTGTTTTAAAGAGGAGGAAGATTTGTGAAGATAATTTTTGGAACTTTTCAGATTAAAAAAACTACCAACGAAACCACTTCCATTTTATTAAACGTTGATAATTAGCCAGAGAGCAAATTTTTAATATTTTTGTGCATGTCACTTAAAAACCCACATCTCTTACTACGATTTAGTATTAATGTTGTTTCTTAGAGCACTGTACTACTTATGGCTGGAAAAAAACAGCATGGTTTGGTATTTTAGAATTTTTTGCTTTATATTTTGGAAAAAGCCAGGTTGTGAGAAAAGACGTTATGTTGCCAAGTATTACTGGGGTGAAAAACCAAAACCACAACAAAACAAACAAAAAAAAGGGAACTTCTACTGCAGATTACATTTTCCTGCATTTTTTTTTTTTTCACAGATGGAAATTTTAGGAAAAAGTAACCAAATCTCCTGAGGATCTGATATAAAAAATGAGGAGCATTTCTTCAAAACAGGGCTGAGATTCCACATCAGAGTAGATGTTTCAGTGTTTAGTGGCAGCATTACAAGGTTCTTGAGTGTTTAACATCACAGCTATCCAATGTGCAAAGCTGTTTTTACTCTTAAGCCACTGCAACCAACATCTTAAAATGGAAATTTGTCTAAGATGTAGCAACAAAGGACAGTAAGTGGAAAATAATAGTATAAAGAAAGATATGAGGAGCGAGAAGTATTTGTGAAGCACTTCCAGTGACAATTTGTCATGAAAATCATTAAAATATTGCTGGGCAATATTTCTTTTCTCCCTTTTTGCTATTTTACCAGTTTCGTGTCACAGCACAAACATCAGGCATTCTTTCTCTTTGCTTGCAGGGTCAGCCTTTACAACATCTGATAACCTGTCCCTCAGTTCCTGGGTATCTTCCTCAACCAGTTTTCCTGGATTTCAGCACCCACAGTCTTTGAGCGCCCTGGGTACCAGCACTGCCTCCATAGCTACACCCATTCCTCATCCCATCCAAGGATCTCTGCCTCCGTACAGCCGCCTGGGGATGCCTCTGACACCTTCTGCTATAGCCAGCTCCATGCAAGGTAGTGGCCCCACTTTCCCTTCCTTCCACATGCCGAGGTACCACCACTATTTTCAGCAGGGTCCTTACGCAGCCATCCAAGGACTGCGCCACTCCTCGGCAGTGATGACACCATTTGTATGAGTGATGTGAGACAAGAGCAAAGGGAGGTTTTAAAAGTGCAAGTTTGGTGTGAAAAAGACAAAAGGACCTTCCTGGAAGGCCCGTGGCAGGGGTGCTGAACTCATAAGAAACCAGCTAAGAGGACGCGTTGTGGATGTGGATTCCTCCGCTGGGGGATCACAAGGAGAGAGCGTGCAGCTTGGAGCTGCTCACAGACCTCAGTGGGACACAGCCCAAACAGATCCCCAAATTCCCAGGATCTTCTGGCCACGTGCAGCTCGTTCCCAAGGTGCATTGTACCTGGTGGAAAGAGCTCGTGTCTATGGCGGCAGCGTGCAAATTAATCGTGTATAGGTCTTTTGTTTTTCATATGCTAGAAGAATTCTGGAAAAGGCAATATTCTTACTCATCCTCGTCTCTTCTTGTGACTGATGAGCTTCTAAACAGAAAAATATATTGCTGTAACTCTGAGCATGTTTTAGGCTATCTCAGCACACTTTTTTTCTGGGAATGGGACAAAGTGGAGGAGACCACTGTCCTTTTTAAAAGACTGGCTTATATTCACCAAAAGCAGTATTTCTTAGTTGCTACTATAATCCCAAAGAGAAAATTATTACCAAGTCTTTCTTTTTTTTCTTTGTTTCTTTCACAAAACACTTTTCAGTTGTAAAAAAAAGAGAACTGTGTTACAAGACTGTAGCAGTGATGATGTATTCTGTCCTTCAGTCCAAACAGAGGTTTGCCCTATATCCTAGGAGCAGCAATTTAGGTATGATGAAAGAAAATGTTGATTTGGGAAAATCTGTTACACTTAGAAACCCAAGATATCAGATCTTTAAATCAAAGCTTGTTTGCTGCTGCGCTTGCCACTGAAGACCTGCTTCTAGCTACAAATGTGTACCAAGTTATCTGAGTTTCAGGCTACATCAGTCTGTAGACTTCTCTAGATCAAACTAATCAATGGACTGGTATAAGATGAGTGACATTGGAGTATTCTGCTTGTTCTGATTTTCATCAGTTTGATCATGGCTGTTATTATACAAGCTCTTTGGGCAGGAAAATGAAGGCTGTACTGTCTGGTTTTCCATGGCCCAGTAGAATGGTGGAGTTTCCTTGGGAAAATATCAGCGTAGCAGTTCACATGTAATTTTAGTTTTTAATTCCTACCTGCCTTTTTTCAGTTAGCAATTAGGCTTCTCACTGAAAGTACTGTCCATACTTTTCCTAGTATGTCAGAAATCCCACTGGGAGCTGGGGTTTCACTGTACATAAGAAGTCAACACCAAGTTTCTGTGTAGAGTTGCATCCAAGTTATAGGTGATAACACATCTATTGATGAAAAAGACCTAGCTAACCAACCTCCTAGACATAAAGATCTGTGGAGAGCTGGAACAAAGAATGGAAAAGAGACTTTTTGGCAGTGTTTCCTCTACTTTTGACCAGTGTGTGTTGGTATCCTGTGGTAAGAGGCAGGGTGCAGTACACTGAGTCACCCATCCCCATCTTTGAGGTGCTAGACAAGTTATGTGCCTTTTTTGTCCCATTACCCCATCTTGCATGTCCCATCACACAGAGCAATGACAAGGCCTTTCCCAGTTTCTACTCTAGGTCAGTGTTTGCATCCCACAGATAAAGGCCATATTTATGTATTTCCTATAACATGAATCTAAAATCTTGCCATATTGGCCATTTTAATCACCTTAGCTCTCTGTGGTATCATCCTGATTTCCCTTTACTCACTCTTGGACATGCTGAGAAGAAAATGACCCGAGGCAACTTCCAACTTCTGTGCTCTTTATGGGAATGAAAATGAGCTTTTATTTACCATTTCTGTGCTCAGAGCTACTGCAAGGAGTTCCATAAATGAATATAACAGGCCAAGCTCTGCAGTATTTAAATGGCTTAGAATCAGATCCTGAATTTGTCTTCATGTATCCAAAGGTTTTTACTCCATCTGAAAAGTACAGGTTGCAAGGCTGTGTCTACCTAGGACCTGTTTTGATATAAACCCCTTATTTTTCAGGAAATTAGATTATACTGGCCCCATAATTAAATAACTTTTCAGCTACATAAATGATTCTACATAAATGAGAATTTCAGGGGAGACTTGGAAGAAAATTTTCACCCTTCTCCTTCAGTTGCTTGACTTCTGCTGGGGTTGTATGAATGCCCTATGATGACATGCACTAAATCCTGTGGGGAGATCCTCTGTTTCCTTCTGCAGCTCAATGAACTTCTCTGGACTTGCAAGGTTAAGTCCAGAATAAAGCCAATAGTTTTAATGCTGATATTTCCACCAGGAAATAGTTATGTAAGTAGGCAGCTTTTACATGGTTCCAGAAATAAGTCTGGAAGCTTATTTCAGAGAAAAATGTAGAGAAATGAACTGTACAATCTCTTTCGTCCTGTCCCAGTCCCTGTTCTCCAAACATCAATATCTGGCGTGCAGAAATACCTCTGATAATCATAGAATTGTTTGTGGAAGGGACTTTAAAGATCAGTGTTTCAGTGAAAATTCTCCAGGTGCTTCCTGGAGAATGAAACTGGATTTTGACATCATTTTAAAAAAAAATATTAAATGAAAGACAAGTGTTTTTCACTATAAATAAAATGTGAATACTATCTGAGAAAGTATGGCAGAAGACTGTTCCTATATTGAAACAAGTCCAATTCCTCATACAAATTCTCTGTGATGAGTTTCACATTGTAGAGGATGCAGAACTATCTGTCAAAATCCCCAGCTTGACGTTTCCACTCAGATCAAGTCTCTCAGTGTGCTCATCCCTCCCTGTGCTTCTCTCCAATGGTTTAATTCCTCTGCATCAGAGACCCTCTGGGTCACTGGGTTCCCCACTTATGTGGAATCATGGGCAGAGCCCAAGCAAAGGAGCAAAAGCAGCTTGTGAGAGCCCTCCCCAGGAATGAGGTCAATATGTATGTCCAGTTCTCACCTCCTCTTCTTTGCCCTCACAGTCCTACCTGGAGGTTGAAGGGGTTGAGTTCACAGAGACCACAGGATACTCAACACAGAGGTCTTGCCACCTCTTAAGGTTTCTTCTCACTGTCCCTATCACCTTCCTGTGAATTCCAAGGGAGTGATTCCAGGGATAAAATTCCTGTCCCCCTGAAGTCATCCACCAATTTCTTGACTGTAAGAGAGACAGAAGTTCATTCAACATCTAAAAACAAAACCTAAGAACAGTGACTGTAGCGACAGCAGCAATATAGGGGCTGTACAGAAGAGACTAAAACCCAGCCACAAATCAGCTTCAGCACTGATTTCACAATTGGAAAAAAAAATGAATGTATAATTCATAATTAATTGGCTAAAGACTAAAATTGGTTTTCCTAAAAAAAAAAATAATAAAATCTGTACGACTTTGACAATAACTCAGTAATTTATTTAAGAGGTTGCTGTACCACTGTCAAAATTATATCACTTTCAGGACAGAACATCTGTTGCTGGTAGATGATCTAGGAATGCCAAATGCAATCTAGAGTTTATTTTCCATTATAATTCACATTTTATATCCCATGAGAAGTGCTCTTCACCTTTATGAGCTCTCTTGGCTGAGCAAACTGGTGCTGGTTTATGTTGGGTTATTTTTTCTTAAGAAGGGTGGAGAGAACATGCCTGAATATGGTTTTCAAAGAGAATGATGAGATTATCCTCCATAATGTTACTGGTACTTTTTGGGTGTTCTTGTATTAGCCTTTTATCCACATAGTCAACAGCTCTTTAATACAGCAAAACCATCCCAAAGACTAACAAAGCTGTCTTAGATGCATGAGTCTGAGGTTTATGAGTTTTTGGGGTTTTTTTCTTCTATCTTTGGAGCTCTGAGAGAAGCTAGACATAAAAATCCATTTTGAGCTTGGCTGTTTGATTTGCAGTATTGCTCTATATGGCCTGAAGCACTGTCAGAAATACAAGTTCAATGCCCCTGGGGTTCAGTGGTACTTTTTGAGGTATAAACTGACAAACAAGCATAGGATGAGTGGATAGAGGCACAGAGTTTCTAACGTGAATGCTTCTTCACCAGTTCAAAGATGGTAAGTTGTGTGATATCTAATATACTTGGCAGTAGTCTACAAAATGCAATTGGGAATTTTCCCCCAGAAGGTTTTATCCATGGAAGCTGGGACACTGCATGAGCTTGGACATATAAGAAGATGGTGCCACTTCCAACATCCAGAAAGCACTAACCAGGATTTGAGAATGAACCTCTTTTAAACTGAAAACATTTGGGCTGGCAGCTTGATTATGCACTACATTCTCTTTATGTGTGTTCTGCAGGGAGACAGAAATATCAGTGAAAATAACTGCAAAAACTTGGGGAGCTTTCTAAAGTTGGAATTTAATAGACATGGTGGTAATTTACCCCTAGATGAGGGGTAAAAGCAACAATGAGATGAGTGTTAACACTTAGAGCTCCTTCTCTGGGAGGAAGATGTGGCCACAGCGCTTATATTCATCATCTGCAGAGGGATGACATTCACTCACTGCAGGATTAATTCTGGTTTTAGTGAGATCTTATGCTCACAATTCCTTACAGAGCATTTTCTGCTGCAGGAGATGTGGTTTCTTTACTAACCATTTTCTTCCTGGCCAGAGGATTTATGTATTACTCTCTAATAAACTCTCCTGGCATATAGTCTCAAGTTTATCAAATGACAACTTCTTTATTTTATCTTTTTAAAAGAAAACTAAGCAGTGATTTAGTTTATGATAGTTTAAGGACAAAAAATACAGTTTGCTGTATTTTACCTTTAGCACATTTAAACAATCTTTTCAATTTTTTTTAGTTTTTTTTTTTTTTTT